TAGACCATTGCTTAGCATTCGGGAGGACGCCGGTTCGATTCCGGGTCCGTCTGCCTTGGTCCAAGTTTTTCTGTGGTTTCCTTGGATCACTTAGGCAAATGCTGAGGCAGTAATATACCACAAATAATCTTTCACTCTCTTCTGTCTTCATTTCGTCCGTCTCATCTTTCTCACCCGAACCACTACCCACTCATTCCCAAAATTCCTGAAAGCAGGCTGAAGAGGACTTTCCGCCCTACCTTCCGGCATAGTCCGGAGGGACTGCCCGCCCACCAGCATTACTGGCTGGTGGGAATGAAACACCCAAAAGTTTTTTTTTTTAGCACTTCAGTTTGTCCCACTTAAACGTAAAAAAAATTAAATGAAAACTATTGCAAGTTATTCACCAATATTTAAAATTGACATTGAAAGGCAGCTAACATTTCAGGCCTTAATAAATTGAAAATCGTCTATGTTTAGAGGAGTGTCGGGGGGCGAGCGTCATCTGAAATAATGTTACTTTACTGTGTTAATGTGTTTATAATAATAATAATAATAATATTTATTCTCGTTTCTCGTAAAATACAGTAATTATCCCATACTATATGAGACCACAAAAGAAATAAATTTCTTGTATGTGGGAGAAAATTTATGGTTATCTTACATACTAACTTACATTGAATATCTTAACCTAAGTTACAATTTGGGTATGGTATTTTGTCTTAGCATCACTGTTACAGTGGGTTCGTATTTGCTTGAAGCCAGATTTTTACTTCCTTTCTATATCTTTTTGGATTTTTTGATCTGTTGGACTCTCACTGGTAGTTGGTTTATGACCTTGGTTCCGATATAGTCAAAACATTTTTGTCCAATATATTTGGTTTTGAATGGAATTTCCATGCCTTTATCCCCTCGTCTCGTGTTGTACTTTTTCTCGATAAACGTTCCAGTTTTTTTTTAGATGGCAAACGGAGTTTAAGACAAATATCTTTTTGATTGGTAGTAGTGAGTTTTCATATAATAATCTGGTAGGATATCTTGTAGGTAGGCCTCTCATAGCTTTTATTACTCGATTTTGCAATGTCTCTAGCTTGGTAATCACATATTGAGAACAGCCGCCCCATGCTATTATTCCGTATGTGGCTATTGATTCGAAAAGGCTGTGGTATATATTGTGTAACTGCTGGATGGAAAGGAGGTTGCGTAGTTTTTTTTAATGTGAAGGGAAGATATTGCAGTTTTTTCGTAAGTTTTTCTATGTGTTTTACCCATTTAAGATGTCTATCTAGAGTGATACCAAGATATTGAACGATATTATATATTGATTATGCCATTATTTCCTTCAAATGAGAAATTTATTGTCTCAATGTCTGTATGCATAACAGCTGTGGGTTAGAAAACAGCTTTTATCCAAGTTGATTGTTAAGCAGTCGTTTGTGAACCAATTTGTTAGTTTCCCAATGTCTTGTTTTATTTCCTGGACCACCCGTTTCCATGTTGCAGCTTTGTAGAATAGGGCAGTATCATCCGCATAGGCGATTATTTTCCCTTTTATGGTTTCGTAGAACAGATCATTTGTAAAAAGGATAAAAAATAATGGGCCCAGTATTGTTCCCTGGGGGACCCCACATGTGATTTCTTGCGGACTGCTGACATGTGTACCTATTTTAACTGTTTGGTCTTTTTTGTGAGGTAGCTTTTAATAAGTGTGTGCACTTTTCCTCTGAAACCCATATGGTTAAGTTTGTTCATGAGCAGGCTGTGGTTCAGAGTGTCGAAAGCTTTCGAAAGGTCGATGAATATACGAGGGTGGATTGATAAGTTTCCGGCCTAACCAAGAGATGACGCCACTAGGCCTACCTTGAGGTGACATTCTATAGTACCATCCTTGGATAGCTTGTAGCTATAGTTTCAGCCCGATCTCCTTGCTAGTGTAGGTTTGACAGCACGCTGAACAAGACGCCTCTGTGGTTTTCGTAAAAATGGAAAAGCAGGAAAATCGTGCTGTCATCAAATACTTTTATTTGAAGGGGTTAACGCCGAAGGAAATTAAAAAAGAGATGGACTCAACACTGGGGACATCCTCCCCGTCATATTCAACCGTTAAGCAGTGGGTTTCCGAGTTTAAAAAGGGTCGTGTGAGCACCTCTGATGGGCCTCGCTCAGGACGCCCCGTTGAGGTCACAACTCCAGATATGATCGAAAAAATTCATCAAATAGTGCTGGGAGACCGCAGATTGAAAGTGCGTGAGATAGCTGAGACCTGTAAGATGTCATATGAACGTGTGCAACATATTTTGCACCAACATTTGCATATGGAAAAGCTCTGTGCAAGATGGGTGCCGCGTTTGCTAACAGTCGACCAAAAATTGATTCGAAAAAACATTTCTACCGCAAATTTGTCATTGTATAAGCGTAATCCAAGCGAATTTTTGCGTCGATTCGTAACCGTTGACGAAACGTGGGTCCACCACTACACTCCTGAAACCAAAGAACAGTCTAAACAGTGGATTGGACCAGGGGAACCAACTCCAAAGAAGGCAAAAACAATTTTTTCGGCGAACAAGGTTATGGCTACTGTTTTTTGGGATGCAAGAGGTATTATATACATTGATTACCTTGCAAAGGGTAATACTATCACTGGTCAATACTACGCAGACTTATTGCAACGTTTGAGCCACGAGGTGAAAATTAAACGACCTCATCTGGCGAAGAAAAAAATCTTGTTTCATCACGATAACGCACCAGCGCACACGTCAATCGTTGCGACTGCTAAAATCAACGATCTAAAGTTTGAATTGATGCCGCACCCTCCTTACTCTCCAGACCTAGCCCCGAGTGACTATTTTCTGTTCCCTAATCTCAAAAAATGGCTTGGCGGTAAGAGATTTGCGGACAATGAAGAAGTAATCGAAGCTGTAAATGGTTATTTTGAGGAGCTTGACGAATCAGTCTATAGAGATGGCATTAATAGACTGGAACACCGCTATGAGAAATGTATCAGCCTTGGAGGAGATTATGTTGAGAAATAAAAAAAAAAAATTTTTAAAAACCTTGTTTTTCTTGGTCAGGCCGGAAACTTATCAATCCACCCTCGTAGATACCGTACGGTATCCTTCGTCCAGCGCGTTTGCTAAGAATTTTGTGCACACTGCCAGGGCGCCAATTGTTGATCTGCCTTCCCTGAAGCCAAATTGTTCTTTGTTTAGTATTTGATGTTTTGCGATGTAGCTGATGAACCTTTCCTTGAGACTTTTTTCAAAGAGTTTCGCTATGGTGGATATTGTGGAGATCGGTCTATAGTTGTTTGGGTCGAATTTATTTCCTGTTTTGTGGATTGGAGTAATTTCGGCTTGTTTGAACTGTATTGGGCAGATTGCAGTTTCATAACATCTGTTAAAAATGTGTACTAAGGGTTTGGTGAGGTATGTAGAGTTTGGTTTCAGTATCGCTGCTGAAATTCTGCTGGGCCTGTTGCTTTATTTGTGGAGAGGTTGCTTATGTGTCTGTTTAATTCCTTATCGTCAATTGGTTTGATGAAGAAAGATTGTCTATTGTTTTGTTTTGGCTCTGTTGTATTTGTCCTTTGTTTTTTATTTTCTTTGCCAGGTTTGGGCCAACGCTAGCGAAGAACTTGTTTAGTTCGTTGGAAGTATCTTCTGGGTTTGTTGTTGTTTGCCCATTCTTTTTTATGAAGCCTGTTTCTGGGGTTTTCGGTTTAGTTTTGTTTCTGTTTAGGATTTCATTGATCGTTTTCCAAGTTGTTTTTGGGTCATTTTGGGCTAGCTTCTTTTTAATTGGTTCTTCTTTGGCTCTTTAAATTATTTTGTTTAGGAGGTTACGATATTTTTTATACTCTGCTATTTGTAGTGGGTCCTGTGATTTCGTTACTTGTTTATGTAGTTTATCTCGTCTGTTTATTGAGTTCATTATGCCAAGTGTTATCCAGCTGCTTCTTCTTCTTTCTTTCTTTATTACGCTGTGTATGCTCTCGTTGATGTAGTCGCTGATAGTCTTTATGAATAAGTCTGTGGCTACCTGCTGGTCTAGTATGTCGGTTAGTTCCTCCCAGTTGTGTGTTATGAGTAAGTTTGTTAGTTTTTTCTTATTTATTGTTTTGCTAACGTGGTTTTTATTGTTTAGTTTAGCTTGGGTTGTTGGTATTTTCACGAGAATTGGGTAGTGGTCCGTTATGTTTGTTTCGATTATTACCGAGGCTACTCTACTGTCATTTCCAAAGCCTTTGATAAAAAGGTGGTCTATGCATGCCTCAGTGTCGTTGGCTATCCTGGTTGGGGATGTTATGGCTGGTATGAAACCGCTGTCTAGGAGGGTGCTGATGTATAGTTCTGATTGTGGGTTGTTTTTTAGTAGGTCGATGTTCGTATCTCCAACGAAGATATGTTTATGTTGGTGTTTTCGTTCTTCTGTGTAATTTTGTAGAGCTGTTAGGAAGCTGTGTATGATGGCTCTTCAAGATTATTTATGAAGTCTTTATCCATAAATGGTTTGGATGATTTTAAATCGGTATAGCACTGGGTAGATTGTTTTCGCTATTAGGTGTTGTTTGAAAGCCTTGTATGAGTCGCATTTCTGTGTTTCATTTGCAGAGTGTTCGGTACTTCTCATGAGGTTGTATTTTTGGTTTACGTTTGTGCAGTTTATGCATTTTTCTGTATGTCTTTGTGTACAGTCTTCAGTTTTATGTTCTGTAGCATACCAGCAACAAACGAGAGTGTTGCACTTGTTGTGGCTATGCCCATAGCCGTTACATTTGTAACATCTTTTGTCATTGATTTCGTCGTATACTCGACAGATCTCCCAGTTTATGTAGATTTTCTGTTTATCCATAATTTTCTCATATGTGTGCCTGTTCACTTCTGTATGCTGTATAGGTCTTTTTACTTTGCATGCACTTTATGTATGTGATTTTTAGATGAGTGGCTGTGCCGGTTCCAGGAAGGTTTTGTGTTTTTATTATGTCTTCTAGTTCTTCTTTGCTGTATGCCGAGTTAATGTTAACTATTTTGATTTTTGGGTTTTGCAGTTCTTCTATTGAAGCTTTGTATTTGTCACCCATTTCTTTTTCTATTTCATTTGCTAACCTTAGGTTTTCTATTACATTACTACATTTAACTTTCAGACTTCCATCGTGTTTCTGTTTAATACTTTTGACTTGGATTCTAAGCTTGTTAAGTTTTATTTTGGACTTCATTTCTTGCATCGTTTCTTTGGCATATTGCTTTGTTAGTGGTTTAATCAGTAAATGAGGGATATTTGAGTTACTTTCACTATCTGATCTTTTTGTAACTTCTGCATATGAAATTTCTTGGTTAGCTTGCATGATGTTGTCTTTAGTTATGTTTTCGATCTTTTTGGCTATATCGTTTACGTAATTTTCAATTTCGTTTAGAGTATGTGTAAGATCAGGTACTTCGTTATCAGTCTCTTTGGTATTTTTGATCATGATTTTCATGTTTTTTTGGTATTTTTTGCAGTTAGCACACGCCCAGAGAATTATGTCTTTTAATTTTGTTATTTGTTGGTATTGCACGTCGTTTATTCTCACACATTGAATGTGGTACCATTTGTCACAATATCCATCACAGTAAATTGCTTTGTCGCTTTTTTTTACTTCTTTTTTACACTTATAACATGTGCTGTTTTCGTTTTCGTCTTCTGTGTCGGCGGCCATCTTGACTAATCGAATAATAAACAGTAATAAATCGACATTGTGCTTGAGCGTTGCGGAGAACGCAAGGTGTAGGGGTGAAATATTAGCAGCGGGTTGTCAAACGGAGCTTATAACAAATAAGTAAATAAATAAAAATAATATGTGCTTTCAAAATGAGGTATATGCAAGGTAATTTGTAGGTAATTAATTAATAGATATCTGCATGGTATAACAGAAAAAGCGGAGCTTCAGAGGGTGTATACTAGATGCAATAAGGAACAGGCAACGCTGACTAGTGGTCACATGACAACTTGCGCCAGGGTGTCAGCTGTGTTTGTTGATGTAGCAATTCATATCTAAAATAAATAAATACCTAATGAAATTGTAATTTATTTATATTTAATGATTTAAATAATTAAAAAGTTTGTAGTGAAGTTTAATAATTAATAATGGATTTTGGTACTATGAAATATTCCGGAGTAAGGTTTTCTCTACAAAAATAAATAAAACAGAAATAAAAAATATTGCAGTATTTACGTGATTAGTGCAAAGAGCGCAAAATTTCGACACTTAGAAGTCTATTCCATAAATTCAAGATCTTGATCTAACAATGAAAACATTTTAATTACTTGCAATAATAATTTGGGTGACAACTTTGAATAATATCACAGCTGAAACCCTGGGAGTAGTTATATTAATGACAACGAGATCGCGTAGCACCACGAACCACTTACCATTTGCAGCGTGGTTAAGGGCAAAATTTGTTTTTTAAGAAAAAGCACATTCAAGCCGGTCCTGTGTATGAGTTGGTAACATGGTATGCACTGCAATAAAAACTGCAGCTGCATACATCAATGGAGAATTAAATAAGTTGTGCCGGTTATTGTACGTCTAAGATAAACAACAACAATTGACACATAATGTTTAGACGCCTATCGCGATAAAAATGAATTAAATAAGTACATTCGTTCATCGCTGATAGCATTCATCACTGTATAAATTATACATCAACATGTATTACGAGCACAAAAGAAAAAAAAAAAATGTTGGTTATGAAAGCATTAGGTAAACGAGTTGGTATTATTTGGATAATCGAAATTTTAAAGGCAAATTCCCATCACCATTTTATGGGTGGTTTGCCGATAGCCCTTATCATCCCACTAGAAAAAATTATTTACTGATTTTTATTTGCACTTATCGAGGAGTCATTGGTTCTGAAAACAATATTCCTAAACATATCTGCATACATACGTGCTACAAAAATTGTTCGAAATTAGAACCCCGTGGTAGAAGATAGGCTTCGATACGTTTATTGAAATCATTTCTGAATCGCGCAAAAACGTCCGGTATTTAGCGTATTTCATTTGCAGCGATCATCACGCGGTCATACAGATCATTACGGTTATGCACTGCGAGGGGGTGCAATAAAATAATGTCCGCACAGTTAGAAAGATGTATCTACCACAAGCGGGTTTGCGTCACACCAATAGTGATCATTGTAAATGTTCAGAATTCCCCCCGCGTGAAACAGCATTTGTAAATAACACTCTATGGAAAAAATTAGGTTCTGCAGCACTTTCTGAAGCCATACACAAATCTACTTGCGACCGAAAATCAATTTCAAGCAAGGCTTGCACTTGCTGCAAGTTATATTCTGCAGTGACATATTAATGTATATCAATGGATGTTGCTGCATTGCTAAATTAGTTTATTGGACTTCGATTGACTAAATTCAGGGTTGATGCTACTAATTACTATTTGGTTTAAAACGGCGTTGCATTGTCGCATTTTTTTCCATAGCCGGAATTACATTTGCCTATTAGAGTACCATAATAAATAATTCCTGCTTTAGGTATTTTGATTTCAAGTGGTACATTTTCTGAAAGTAACCAGTTTTTAATTTTTTTTATTCCATGTCAATGTAAATAAGTAAATTGTAGAAATTATGTAATGTCTCAAAGCTCAACTGCATGTGTTACATTCGTTGCCAACTTAAGTGAAAGATCTTCATAAACATATTTTATCATTACGTGTCAATCAGGATTCAAAGGCGAGCGTTTGTTTACTCTTTGAAGATATTCAGTTAAATTCTGATATTCATAAGACTTCAAAATAAACAATACAAATATTGTGGGATTGTCGCAAAGAAAATATAATGTGTTGTTTTTATTGTAAATTTATACCTAAATTAGTGGGTGTTAAAATGTGTATCTGAATCTATACATCTAACATACAATAATAAATCATGATAGTACCTTGATACCTCCTCAATTAATGGTAATTACTAGGCTTCGGATAATTATGCATTAAAAAATGGGTGCGTGTACTTATGTACGCGCGTGAGAAGTTATACTTCTTTGGCATCATTAAAAATAGAAAAATACACAACATGTCAAAATCTTCTGTCACACAATGATAAAGAAAAGACGTATGTAATAAAAAACAATAAAACAAATAACGGATGTCTTACATTATATTTAAATAATCTATTAAATTTTTGTCACGAACTTTTTATTAAATGTTCTATTAAATTTATTTCTTTATTTTGTAAATATTAAATAACCAATAATAAATATTCAACATTGATAATTTAATAATATTTAGTATTAATTATATTAAATAATGATATTTTAATTTATATCAATAAATAATACATAGGGATAACTAACCTCAATTATATTGGAGCACTTAAAAAAGTATTTTAGCACAATTTTTTCACTAATATTCACAAATAGTAAATAATATTAATCCAAATATTCAATTTAAATCACTACTGAATATATTTTATTGCCACATATATAATTCGCACTTGTATGAAAATAAAACACGTGTTGTGACTGTAAAAACTAAAACCATGTGGATAAATATTATAAATAAATATGAAAACAGTGATCAGAGGCGACAAGCGTACCAACATGCGCGACTAAGAGAGGTTTTATTTCTATTTCGTTGGTAGCTTTTTTCCGAGACTTAATGAATTCGGTTGAGTGGGCAACTTCATCCTGTTAATTTTGTGTTACAGTGATGCGCGCGCATCTTGAAATTTCACTCTCATCAGTTTTTCATAACGCGCCTAAAGAAGTATAACTTCAAAAAGTACAAAATATGCATGCAAATATGCATTTAAATGTCGTTTTTTAGATTGAAATAAAACAAATTTTATTGGTTATATTTGTCTATTTACAATTTTGCATATTTTTGCCATTACATTTTATTACAATATCAGGCGTTGTTAAGACAGCAGGTAAGAGTTGGTCTGTGTTCTGTCGGAGCTGTCTGCGACGTGCTGATGAGATCCAGAAAGATCAAAATCGCGATCCGCGTTTGGCAGTTTCGACAGAATACGGACCACTTCGAATTATGTTATTCGATTATGATAACGTGCCTATTACGTTGAGGTTAGCTACGCCGGGATTCGTTTCAGCTAGCAGATATCCATATATTTAAATGGACCTTGTTGGAGCATACGTAATCCTAAAATGTAGCATCGTATTACAGATGGCGTTTACCGCGTTATTTGTGGTGTTTTCTACAATATGATATAATAATTTTTCAAATATAAATTTACGGCGATTACCAGATAAAATACATTTTAATTTCTGAAAAACACCTTTCCACGTCACAGGTGCTCCATCTTGTAACAATTGGGAATGGCGGAAGTGGAATCTCAACTACCGGCAGTTTCTTTGAACTTAGCAACGTGTTTAAAACGGTGCTAACAGATCGTTTTTCTTTCGGAATTTTTGATTTTTAACACTGACGTTGAGATGTTCGCTTTTCAAAATCAAACAACAAACTGATGTTGTGATAATTTAAAGCGAACTTTTGTATAAGTAATCTTTCTTGTTATGTTGATGTAAATACTTAATGACTGCAATTACCAATTATCAGTTAAGATGTTTACATTGCTTTCTCGGAATATACCATTCCGTAGGGGGTTGAGTATGTATCTGACCTTGGTAATACAGAAATATAAATTATGTTTGCAAACAAGTTTCAACTACGAAATATGCAGATAAAACTTAAAATGACCAAAATATGCACTTTAACCAAATAATGGGTTAAGTATGCATAAGAACATGCTGTTATGCAAATGCATAATCATCCGAACCCTAGTAATTCCCTTTTGATTGTTTGAATTATTCGGATTTCTAATACTGATCTATTCTGGATATAATTTCTTACATATTAATACTTCTGTTTATAATTTCGTAATCACTGCTACAATAACCATTATGATGTCTTCTTACATTTAAAATAACACTAACACATTCTTTTCTTATCTTACGCATATTACATTAAGTGAATAATCCTAAAAAAATTTCAGAAATGGCTTAAGGCAGCATGAAAAGTTACATACAGGTGAACGTCCCTTTGAATGTCCGATTTGCGGTAAACTCTTCATCAGAAAGTGGCATGTTAAGTCTCACGTTCGTGTGTCAAAAAAGGTTTCCCATAAGACAGCATGTCGATGTGCATATGCGCGTTCATACTGGAGAAAAGCCATTTAAATGTGAAACCTGTGGACAGGAATTTACTCAAGAGTAAGTAATACCTTTATGTAACTCAGTAACAAGATAATTACACACATTTAAAATATAATACTTAAAATTTGTAAGTGTCTTTATTACATTTATCACAAATCAAAATTACAATTTCTCCTTAACTCTGTTTTTTCGCGTTAACCCTTATCTGTTCCTTCTCTACTGTTCATAGTATTGGCATAATGTTAAATGTTAGTAGTATCCATTGCTAATTTTCATTTAGTTAATATTTCATATTACGTATTAACTTAATTTTACATACATAATTTTCAGAGGTAACCTGGTGCTTCATCAAAAATTACATACAGGCGAATGTCCATTTGAATGTCCGATTTGCGGCAAACGTTTTGTCCAGAAATCATACTTAAGCAGTCACTTTCGCATTCATACCGGAGAAAAACCATACGAGTGTCAAGGGTGTCAAAAAAGGTTTCCCAAGAAACAGCATCTTGATCTACATATGCGCGTTCATACAAGGGAAAAACCGTACGAATGTAAAATCTGTTTACGAAGATATTCGCAAAGATCTTCTCTTAAGAAGCACATTCTCACGTATACGTAAAAGTGATATAAATACGGATGTTAAGCAGAAACATAAAATTATTTTGGATATTAACGAACTGCATTTGTAAATTTTATTCTTAAATTATATTGNATGTATAAGCGCTACCATTATCAATTTTTACAATACAATCTGGAATAAAACAATTATCATTTATTTTTGTTCTTTCTATAATGCCTTCTTTTAGATTTGAATGAACTTTTAAATTAATTTTTATTTCAGATCTAGGAGGTATTTTTATTAAATTAATGGATTTTGAATTCTGATATTTAATAGAATGAATTTTATCGTCTAGTTTGATTTTATGTGTATTTAAATCTAATTTAGCTTTTTTATGCAAAAGATAATCATATCCTAAAATACCGTCTTGTTTTACATTAATATTCGCTACATGGAAAATAAATTTAGATTTACTTAGATAAGTGCCTGAAGTAAAAGATGAACCACCATTTACTCCAGTAATTTCGATAGGGCTAGACTTTATTATTTGTTCCGGTAGCAAATATTTAGGTTTGATTACTGATATGCATGCGCCAGTATCAATTAGAAATTTCCTTATCTTATTGTTAATTTTGAGTTTTAAAATAGGAGATGTTGAAATGGAAGAGGCCTTATCAGGAATGTTTATTCGGCGGATGCCTCGTCGTCCGTCGAATTGTTGGAGTTTAAATTATCGTTATCTGAGTCTGAGTCAGAGTCACTGTCGTGAGATTTGTCAATATTTGATTGTTGCAATTTATTTTGTTGTTCTATCATTCTTATTTGTTGTTTGTCTTTATGACGTTTAAAGCATTTGTCTCTGGAATGACCTATTTTATTGCAATAACTACAAGTCTCTGAATGTTCATTTTTATTATCAGACTTACCATCAACTTTATGTGAAAATTTTGGTTTAAATTTGGAAAAGGTTTGATTATTATTGGAACTATTAAAATGACTTTTCTTAGATGTCTGTTTGATTTTTTGGGATTTTTCTTCACCTACTGCTATTTCGATTGCCCTATCCAAGGTTGGTGGATCTTTAGCTTTAACAATAATAGCAATATCTGAAGGAAGGGTCGAAATGTACTTTGCTAATGCCATTTGTTCAATTAAATCTACAGTCTTAACTTTAGTGTCACTAGCAGCAATCTGTAATCTGTCTTTTAATGATGAAAGCCTATTACTAGTTTCCTTAATTGAATCAGCTTTACATGTAAACATTTGAGAAAATAATAAGAAAAGTGTTGATTCAGACTCGAAATTGGTTTCTAGTATACTTAATAATTCGTCATGACTATCAATAATTCTGTGAGCTAAACAACGTTCAGCCTTTCCTACTAATTTTTGTAATACAATATTTAATGCCAAATGTTCTGCATTAGAAGGAATATTATCAAAAACCCATTCAATGGTACGTTTAAATTTTGAAAATGGCATATTATAGCCATCATATTTGGGAACAGTTTCAAGTAATGTTTCTATACTAATTTCTGTTCTAACTTTTAACCTAGGGAATTCTTCAATATCGTTAGGCATTTTATATAAAACAAGAAAATCGTGCCACTTTAAAAAAAACTCGACACCAACCTTTGTGTAACCAGGCTGATAGGTTCCCACGTAGAACGTCAAGCCCTAACTCAGGTACCGCAGGTGAGGTAGATGGAAGGCAAGGCGCTGATTGAAGATTTTTCCAATTGTGGGCCTGGAAAAGCTATCCAGATTTTCTTCGTGATCGGCAGAACGAATAATCCACTCAGTAGAGGAAACGCACGTAAATTTTACTGATGGTTTTCGCCGCACAATCCAATCCTCGTCGCCAAAAATGTTATATATTCAAATTTAAAATTTAAGTTTTTAAAAAGAAACTTTTAATNAAAACCATATCGATAGATCATGATGTAAGGAAGGGCATAAAGAAATCTGTGGGTAAATGCCTACTTGTAGAGGGAATTGATTCTAAAGGTAGATTTGCAACAAACTCATATGCTCAACTACTTAACAGTATAATGACATGTGTTCCATTGGCAGTATTTGCAGGTCGGTTAGATTGTAATTCCTGCTATTCATTATTAACATCATTAGAAAGATATCAGCAAAGCACATTCTGTTATTAATGCACATTGTTGCTCACTTCCTCTTTACATGTCAATCTTGGTAGTCTTCTTTACTTGCTTTTTGTACTTCCTAGAACAAATTAGAAGATAATTACTTTACATGTACCTTTCGATGCATAGGTGGTTTACATATCACAGTCCTTTTGGTCCCATTTGAAAGTTATGCTTTCTATCAGTAGTATCTGCTGTGTAGTTTTATCAGATGTATTTATGTATTTATTTATTTATTTATTTAATGTCGCTACAGTCCTCTTTAGAGTGTTACATCCACTCACTCTAGAGGTCAGCTTATTCTAATTACTAACATTACTTACTAACTAGTTGCTTAGTCTAAGCTTAACTGTATATGTATATCAATATAATTATTTGTACTTTATTATTGCAATTAATGTTGTTCATTTGTGTGTTTATAAACTTATTTGAACTTTATTGTATGTCTCGTTCATGTTTTATTGATCTCTAGTTTGTAGTATGTACTTCTTTAGTTTTGCTTTGAATTTTTTGTATTTTTTTCTTCTATGATGTTTTCCAGTAATTAATTTATAGCTTTATCCCTTTTGTTATTGTTGTGTTCCTGCCCATTTTTTCCGTCCTCGTTTGTACTTGTTCTTGGGTGTACTTGTAGAGCTGCTTTTATGGCCATGTTTTGTTTACGTTGTAAGCTCCCCGTTCTGTTCTGGTTTTGTCCCCAGATTAACGGTAGGTATGTAAAGTGGGAGTGCACTAATGCGTAGTATATGTTGATTCTGTGTTTTTTTGATAGGTCCTTCAGTCTGTGTCTTATTATTTCAATAATTGGTGATATTTTTTTGTGCATTGTTTGAATATGGTTTGTCCAGTCTAGTTTGTTATTTATGTGGAGTCCCAGGAATCTCGTTTGTTTTATTTCATGGATTGTTGTTTTACCTTTCCTAATTTCTGAGTTTTCTGTGTGTTTGTCAGATATTATGTAGTTGGTTTTTTCGGTGTTTAGGTACAGTCCCTTGGCTTGCAGATGTTTATTAATGGTGTCTAAATCTGTTTTTATGTTCTGGATCAATGTTGGTCGGTCTTCTTCGCTATATATTATTGTTGCATCATCTGCAAACATAGTGAGCTGCCCTTTAAGTGGGATTTTTCCTAGGTCGTTAATGAAGATTATAAATAGACTGGGTGATAAGGTCGTTCCCTGCGGTATCCCTACCTTGATTGCTTTTTTTGTGCTGTTTTGTCCATTTATTGACACATATTGTTTCCTCCTTTGCAGATATGATTGAAACCATTTATGTGCGTGTCCACGTATACCTTCATGTTCTAGAGCTTGTAGTAGTTTCTCATGTTGTACCGTATCGAATGCTTTTCTTAAGTCTAGGAAGAGTGCCGCTGTTTTTTTGCCAAGGTCAGATTGTTGTTGGATAAATGTTATGCCGTCTGTTACTGCCTCTTTTGTGCCTTTTTTGTTCTAAACCCGTACTGTCGATCGTAGAATCGGTTTGTTGTTTCAAGGAAGCTTATGAGTTGTTTATTTATTATTTTTTCTAGTATCTTTGTGAATACGCTATTATTTGCTATTGGTCTATAATTATTTGCGTCTGTTTTGTTACCTTTCTTGAGTACTGGTGTGATTTTTCCTATTTTCACATTATCGGGGACGGTCCCTTCTTCTATTGATTGGTTAATTATGTCAGTTAGTGTCTGTTCGATATATGGTATTATTTTCTTTATTATGTATGGGGATATTCCGTCTTCTCCCGAGCTCTTCTTGGGTTTCATTGAGTTTACTGTTTCTCTAATGTCTTCTATGGTGGCGCTTTTCAGGAAAATTGTTGCTGGGTTTTGTTCATCTCTGTAGGTTCCGGTTGGGGCTGGTATTGCTCCCAGGTTTAGTGTATCGTTGATGTTCGTGAAAAAGTTGTTTAGGGCTTCTGCTGCTTCTCTTCCTCTGGTTATTTCGTTGTCTTTGGCTATTTCGATGTTGGGTGCCTCTCTTTTTTCCCCATTTGTCAGTATTTGTTGTATTATTTTCCAAGTTTTTTGAGGGTCTCCGTGTGCATTTCCCATTTTTTTGTTGTAGTGTTCCTTCTTAAGCTTTCTTCTCAAATTTGTTACATTGTTTCTTAGTTGTATGTAGAGTTGCTGTTTGTCTGCGTCATCTTTATTTTGTGTCCATTCTTTGTATGCAGTGTTCCTTTTTTTATTTCGCCCCGAAGTTCTTCAGTTACCCATTCTCTATTCGGTAGCTGCCTCTTTAGTTTTATGATTTTTGTTGTTGTATGTTCTTTGATTACTCCTTGAATGTAGTTGATGAACTTATTGTATATTGTGTCTAGGTCCGTTTCTTCTGTTGTGAAGGGATTGGTTGATAGGTGGTGTATCATTTTGTTAAAGTTTATTGATTCTGTGGTTTTTGTCGTAGTTTCTCTCATTTGTTGTTGCTGTTTGTATGCAAGTTGGGTGAGTATGATTTGGTGGTCGCTGATTTGGTTTTCGAGAATTGCTGTCTCCGTCTGTAGTTCATGGTAGTTTGTTAATACATGGTCTAGCAGCGAATTCTTTTCTCCTCTTGTTTGGTTTCCTTTTCTTGTATGTATTTTAGTGTTGGTTACTTGTAAATTATGCGTGTCTAGCCATTCCTTGTATTGATCTGTGAGGGTATTTTCTTCTAGTAAGTTTATGTTGAGGTCTCCTGCTATGATTATTTTTTTCTGTTCTTCCATGCATCTTTCTAGGTTTGCATAAATTTCTGTTATGTCAGTTTCCTCTGATCTATATATCCCTACTAGTTTAAACTGTTGTGACATGTGCTTCATTTCAATGTTTATTGCTTGTATGGCAGATTTGTTGTCTGTCCATGTGTGTGTGGTGTTTTGTTGTAGCTCTTTATGTATGAATATTCCTACTCCTCCTCCTCGTCTGTTTTCTCTAGATAGGTAGTTGCTGTTAACCAGGTTTCAGTGAGTATTATGATATGGATTTTAGTACCTATAGTTTCTAATATTTCTTCTAGGTCT